TCCATGGACAGAAGGAGTATGTGATAATATTAGAATTGGAATAAAATACATGTAGATTTTGAGGGTAGGTGTGCGGATTATATTTTCCGGCGAACATTTTTATCTTCTTTATTGATTATTATTATTATTATTATTATTATGATGATGATGATGATTATTATTATTATTATCATTATAATAGACGCTGAAATCTGAAATCTGTTTTTTTTATTCAAAACAGCTTATATAAAAGTTTTATAAATGGTCAGAGTATATAGAGTATGAGCTGGAAATGGAAAAGGTTACCCCCTCTGGGTATTTTATGAGACCCATGTAGTTTTAGTTTTTAAAGATAAACATATAGGAAGACATTTGCAACTTGTTGTCTGACTGAAACGTTTACCATTAAGACACAAGCCAATGTGAATTATCTGCCCCTGCCACATTTTTTTAATAAACAGCCTAATTGAAATAACCATAATGTTTTTAACCAAATGTATTGTTATGTAGTTGGTTTTTGTTTAAGATCATAGACAAGGTCTCTAAAATGATTGACTTCATAATAAATTGATGTTATTACTTTTCAAAATGGCCGCCATTTTCCTCTTATTTTATAAACATTTTTATATAAACTTTGTGGTTTTGTTTTTAAAAAAAGCAAAACATCACTTAATCATAAAAAGTTGTTTGTATAGATATTATAGGAGTAAAATAGACTTTTGTTGTTCAATTTGGGTTAATGATAATGCTATTAAAGAATATAAATTACCCCCCCCCCCTTCCAATGTTTTGCAATACACTTTTTAGTCACATATTAATAATTACTCGAAATGTACTTTGCAAATTACATCAATATAAATTTCCATCTCAATTTCCTCTAGATCACCTTCTTGAACATTTTAATCATCTTCTAACACTTCACTAGAATTTTTATAAGCTATGATTTCAATTAATCCTGGTGGTAGTATATTTTCCTCTCTCCAGGTACAATGTATATGTGAGACCTCCGGTTGTACCAGTATTCCGACCATATCTATCAGGACTTGGAATTGACAACAGGCATTTCACCACACAAATACTTGGTAATTTGATCTAAAAATATGCATCTTTAATGCGGAAAGATATGGTGGTATTGAACGCAAGTCAATAACATAGGTAATTGTAAGTATGTCTGCATTTGGTCTAAAGTTTTGTCTGAAAATGTCAACGCACAACTAATTTATGTCACTTTATTTGTCTTTCTTTTATAAAATGCAGACAGACTTTTCTAGAATTTTGAAATCTTCTTCTTGAATATCAACATTCTTGCCCATTCTCTTGAAGACTGGTTTTAAGTATATATTCAGGATATATATAAAACAAAATGTTTATGGCTTTAATTTTCCCCCTCATGAAAAAGGGCTCGTGGTATCACATCCGGTGAAACTATATAGCCCAATCAATGCTTTGCAAAGATCTTCTCCTTAATATGTCTATCAATGATTTTATTTACTTTCATCAGTCTTCTATTATTATTATTATTAGCTACACCAGTGTCAAATAGTATTAATCTGTTGATAGACTGTGCTTACGTTAGAAGTAATATCATAACATAAGTATCAGGATATCGTACAATTATTGCTTTCTCATCATTTTCAGCCGCATGTAACATATGTAGCATAATTCTGGTATCGGCTTCCTCCTGAGACATATGTAGATCTGGAATCGGTATTACTTCTACTTTTCAATCTTTACTTTGGAGGCATACATATGTCTCTTCACAAGCACAAGATTCTCTTTCCGTCCAAGTTCATGAGATCATGCATTAGTTTTGCCTTGGCAGTCTTTGTTGGTAAGTTATTTGCTTAAGCTAGAGACCAAGGCACTGGTCCAAGTGGGTACAGAAGGGTATTTTCAAGGATAATGTCATTTTCTTCTGATAACATGATAAGCTGACCAAAGACATTGCCAGCGGCCTTAACTTCCACAAGATTGTTTCTGAGTTAGTGTCACTTTCTTAACTTTCTTTGTATCGGCAAAGGTTTTTCAGTTTTGCTTCTTCAGTGAGGCATAATAACTAACAGTTTTATCAACCAGACGTTCTTGGGCGAGCTTTTTGTGTGCTTCAAGTCCATTTCGGTAGGCATCAAACAGACTCTTTTCGATCTCCTCTGGTACAGGAGCCCCTAAACTTAAATAAATAAACATATCCCAATTATCTGTTGCAAATGGATTCATAAAGTTAGTTGTTGATTCTTTGAGTTTCGTGACATTTTTTTCAAATGCAGCTATATTTTCTGGTTGTGTATCAATGTGTGTAGAAGAATCCGCTGATATGCCTGCCATGCGGAATGTAGCCTCAACATAGCTGGCTCTCGAGTGTTGTGTTTGACTCCATCTGTAGTAGGCAGCAAAGTTACTGCTGCCAATCCTATTATGCCTCAACGAGACTTTGTACATCTGTTTATTATTTGCTCAATAGTTATATTAACATCATAACAGAGCCAGGCACATTGGATCTGCTTACACTGAAACCGTTATTTTGAAGAAGCTTTCTTGATCCGGTTTGTTGAATCAATTTATCAACATAAGAACATATACAAATAGATATTTTGCATAATTTTGATAATCATATGCATATTTTATAATGTTGACACATATAGGTCAAGATCATTTTCATTCGTTGCTCTCATTAAACGAAGAAGCAGCCAAATCTTAACAATAAATCCCGTCAAATCTGTGCTGTCTTCCCTAAGTGACCTTTTCCGACGTCTTCCTTGAACTCTTGATACCTCTTGTAAAGTACAATGACAGAATCATTAGCTAACACATCTTCAAGGTGTTCACGTTTTTGATTCTCAGCTAGCACATTTAAAGCTTGGTTGATATCTTCCAATGCACTAGAGTTGTGGATTTGGATAACTAGTGCTACAAAATATTCAAAAGCAATCTTTCGAGAGCTTCAACTGTAAACACATTAACACATTCACTCTTCTCTATCAGGATTTCTGAGAAACCACTTCCACGAAGCCGTTTGCCAATCGCCATTAGGTATGAACCTAGCAAACAAAAAGCCCCTAAATGTATGATAGTATCACTGTACTTAGTCGGATTTTCCATACTGTAGAATATGGTTTTTAGCAGCGGCCAAATCAAAGGTCACAAATGTGTATTGTTGGTTTATAGCTCTTGAAACACTTGAAATTTCTAGAATTTTCTTAACAGTTGCATTTTTGTACTATGGGCAATTAAAGTACATTGGTAGACATGTACTCTTCTGTAGAGGATGTTTGATCATGCAACTCAGAGGTTAGAGAGATCCAGCCAGCCCAACATGGAACAATCTGCTTGTCATGTACACATGAACCAGAGAAAGTAAGATGAAACAGCAAAAACCTGAAACATTTCCTTTGTCGAAACTTATAAGTATTGATAAATTGATTATTTCCCAGTAATTAAGCATTCAGCTAATTCTTCAGGATTGTATTTAACAGTGCAATTGCCTTAGCAGCCTGTATATTTGATATATTAGTGGATGTTTGTTCTCTTTTAGTGTCATCATCATCATCATCATCATCTTACGGCTGTTCTCTTTCTTGAAAAGCAATTTTGTGTGAAGTATGGGTTGTTATTTAGATGGATTACATGGAAATGGTCCCAGCACAAATTTGTTATCAAATTGCTTTTACAGAAATTGCATCAGGGAGAACAATGCCCCGATCAAGAGTACTGTTACACAGTTTCCAACTCCAAAATCTGAGAGGAGTATAACTGACAATGTCCGAAATGATTCATCAGTGTCTTATGCTGTCATGCTGTGTTGCATTTCAATAAAGATTTATTCAACAAAATCACTCCAAAACAATTGATTTTAAGGGAAAAGCATACTATTACTAAAGCATACTGTTATCTGCTTTTTTTCTAATGGCGTAATGAAAATAGGGGAAGTAACTTTATAATGTTTTTGAAAGGGCAGTAACAATGATAATGAAATGTAATTATTATTCTAATAAAAATAAAAAACTACCAACAAAAGGCTTAAATCATTTTAAATAAAATAAGAGTAAGAACAGTTTCCTTTGGTGGAACACAACGAGCAGCCTTTGTCAAGTAGTCATCATGGTCATTGTGGTGCGGGTAAACTCTGCAATTCATTATAGTCATATGGATATACAGAAACAGAACAGAACGGAGAAGTCAACTACCAACTTTTCAAATTGTTTTTCATATAAGTGAGAGTATATTAAGTTTCTAGAGAGGACAAAAAGTCAATATTCGCATGAAATTCAATTAAAAGTATCTTATCGAACTTTAAAGGCAGCTCAAATCGACCCCAAATATTCATGGTTCATATCTCTATAAAATGGAAATAATATTCAAGAGCACAACATTTAAAATTCTACCTAGAATAGAGTTTGTTTCACTAAGCATATCATATATAATTAATAATTACATCAAACTATGTATAAATGGGTTTAAACACATTAAATATTGTTATGAATTGTTTATCTGTTCAATAATTGGCGGCCATTTTAAAATGGCGGACACCATTAATTATGTTATTTTTTTTGTTAAAACTTAAAACTTTTTGTATAAAACATAAAACATATATTTACAACTCAAAATAATGTTAAGATCACAAATTTACTCTGTCATAGAGAAGATATCTGAAGAAATCTTATAAAACTTATAAAAATATGATTCAAGGGGAGATAATCAACTTGTTCCATTAGATTCATGGTAAACGTTTCAGCTTAACAACAAGTGCCAATCGATAGCACATACCCTAAGCTTCAATACTATATAGGTGTACAAAAATCCCCAGGGGCGGGGGTAAGGGGGGGGGGTATGCTAGCCCAGCGTCTATAGAGTGCACATTACTATATATTCATACTCGTAACTATAGACAATCATCTTCATAAACATTCATAGACATGCAGAAGCCTTTTAAATGTTGATAGGATCTATAAAATTTGTCTTTCAACTAGGTTTATCGAGAAGGATTTACACTACTGATAAAACGTGTTTACATTATGTCAGTAAATCATAAAACATATATCAGGTCTAGTACTTCCTCATTCACGCAGTAAAAAGTTATCCTACTTATGATATATTCGCTTCATTCTTGCGTTAGAAATGTTTGAATTATACAGTAATAAACGTACAAAAATGTTGATATCTGCTTTAATTATAATGGAAATTATCATTTCTGGTAAGTCATTTGAACTGCTGTATAAAATAAACGTTCATCTATTTGTTAAAATATGCATTATATGTTTGAACAATGTCAACTTTACGCTTTATATTAATTTTTGTGTTACAAGTTGATAAGTTTACGTATCATTTTGGAAATGTAGATAGATTCAATTGTTTGTGGTATCGACAGACGCACTCTATTTATTACGTTTTAATTCACCTGTGTGTTGATAAGTTATCTGTGATGGTTTTTACACCAGTTAAGTGTAGTATTTCTTTTGAAAAGAACAGAAAGAAAAAAATGTGCTCATTGCTTTGATATCTATTTTCAATGTTGTCTATATTTACATTTAGTTGAACGTTAATTTTAAAAGCTGAACATACTATTATATCCTGTTACATCAATAAACATATTGCTGGCTTACGGTTAAACAAAGACTATATATATTCTGATAAGCATACATAGTGATTCACCTTTCCTTCACATTGTCAATTCCGAGAAGAAAAACAAAAGTTTATTCGGCTAATTATGATAACTTAAATACCCGTGTTGTGATGAGATTATCATTTTAACTTGTTTATGAAGAGCTCATACTTTAAACATGTGAACTAAAAATTAGCTTAGGGGATCGGGTACATATTGCAGATTACAAAGTAAAATGTAAGCATTAATATGGCCCGCGAAATTTTTGAGATAAATACAATACAATACAATACAAATAACTTTATTGCGAATAAAACATTATAACAATGTTTATAGCAAAACAAAACATATATATACATTCATGAAAATGAGATCGAACATGGATTATAAATACAATATGGACGGGTTGTTCTAAGAACACAGACTCGGAAAAAGTTATTTCATTAATTCATTTTGAGAAAATTTATAGGTTATGTAAAAAACCTTAGCTTTTACAAAAGAGCTATAAGTCACAGGGAAAACAAATGCTGAATAAAAAACAACAATCATGTTAATTTTGCCGATTCTCGGCTTTTCTCTCATCCTAGGTTTCACCGAAATCCATCAGTAGTTAGTCGAGACCAAAGTTATTACAAGAAATTATTATATAATATAATATGGTTTTCAGCACAGGTAATGATAACTGCTAACCCAAATCATCATTGGGACTGAACCTGCCAATACCAGGGCTGGGAATCAAAACTGCGTCGTCTCCTACAAAATGTAAACAAACGCCGCCTTCTTGGAACGAAAAATGTATGTTTTTGTTTATAACTTGTTTTGTTGGAAATAATTGAAAACCAGATATATGTATTAACACGCTACACTATTTTCCGCTTCGTTCGGTATATGTTGCTTGCACAACTATTTTGTAAAACAAAAGTTATACCGAACTTGCAACTCGAAGCGGGGCCGAATTCTTATGAAAATGTGTGGATACGACGCAGTTCATATTGCTTTACCTATCGTTTTTTCCTTCAAATCAATTATATATTTGTTTCAGAGTTCAACATAAACTTCGAAATATAATTTTGCATCATTTACTAAAACTTCATTAAAAAGAGATGTTTATTTTCTTAGAAAGTAATGATTTTTACGAAATGATACGACGCAGTTGAAAATAAAATATGATACGACGCAGTTGTATTTTTGGCAGTCTTTCCACAGGGATAATTTTGGCAATAAATTTCTATTTTATGGAATAATCACTTGCGCTAGATAAAAAAAAACAGATCTTTTGCGGTGTATAGCAATGTTCTGTTGCTTTTGATTATTTAGAATGCATTGTGTTATGTCCAATATAACATTTAATATGAAAGTTTACATTGTGGAAGCTACTTTTCAGTTAAACATGAACATGTTACCTAATTAATCATAATATCTAAAATAATTTCTTATATTTTCCTGTATGTTCAATATTATCCCTAATTTTGTCGCAAAAAATGTAGAAATCTATTAACTTGAATTCATTTTGGCTAGCTACGCTCTAAGTTAACTGTGGTTCTGCATGTTCTGGGAAATGACTGCTTTTTGTGGTTTGTTTTCAAACTTTCACTCTACACATTAGCTTTACTAGGGGCGAGAACCTCAGGTGCGCCTTTGTGCATTATTTCAGGCAAAATGTTGCACCTGCAGAGAACCATCGACATTTTGAAACTAGCTTGACGAAAGAATAAAAAGGCCCTGATGGTTTTCGAATTCATAGCAGTTCAGTTCAAGTCATTTGAATTCAGTAAACATAAACAGCTCGGCCTCGGTCGGACACACCTGTCTGTTTTGTTTTTTTCAACAAAAATTGTTAACGTCAGCTGTACAAATAAGCAGTTTTTTTAATTAATTTCTGGCGTGAAGTTTTAAGATTATAATTATTTGAATTAATCATAAAGAGAATAACATTTAAATTTCTTATGTCGGCATGACTAGCAGAGAAATTTTCAATGTAAACTTTTGTTTAAGTTTTCAGGCAATTCATTATCAAATAAAAATCACACTTTAGTATGAAGGTATGTTAAGATGCCATGTCTCAAGTCTGTTAAAAATTCGATGCGATAATCTGACCTAAATTTTCTGTTCCATATTGTGAAAACTTCTTCGATCAATACTGTTGAAAGATAATGTCTGCCTATATCTGTATCAAATCTATCGGTGCACAGCGTAAAATTCCTTTGCAAAACGGACACCTTCTTTACAAAATAATTTGTAGTTGTATCATAAGTAACTCGATTTTGAAAATTTAAAGTTTTTTAATGGTGAAGAATGATACTTAAGTGCAAATTTAGAAAATACATTCCGTAGACCTTTCCTCATCGGCGATAAAGAAATGCAATACGGAAAAATCAGCGGTAAAGTTCCGCGGCGCTGAACACGGAACGCATAACTTTCTTTTCAAAAATATATTTTAGCTTAACCATTTATAATTTAATTTTCAGTTCTGTTCTCACCGATTATTAAGAAAATGAATACAATAAAATCGGCACGGAAATTATTGCTAATTAGCATACCTAACACATAAACCAATATGCAGCCTGCAATGAAAATACAACTGCGTCGTATCATATTTTATTTTCAACTGCGTCGTATCATTTCGTAAAAATCATTATTTTCTTGGAAAATAAACATCTCTTTTTAATAAAAGTTTAGTAAATGATGCAAAATTATGTTTTGAAGTTAATGGGGAACTCTGAAAACGAGTATATAATTGATTTGAAGGAAAACACGATAGATAAAGCAATACGAACTGCGTCGTATCCACACAATTTCATAAGAATTCGGCCCCGCTTCGAGTTGCAAGTTCGCTTTAACTTTTGTTTTACAAAATAGTTGTGCAAGCAACATATACCGAACGAAGCGGAAAATAGTGTAGCGTGTTAATACATATATCTGGGTTTCAGTCATTTCCAACAAAACAAGTTATAAACAAAAACATACATTTTTCGTTCCAAGATGGCGGCGTTTGTTTACATTTTGTAGGATACGACGCAGTTTTGATTCCCAGCCCTGAATACAATAGTCACGCAAATTTACAAATCGTTAGGTATGGTGGCTGATTTGTGCCATTCGTGTTTTCGCCCCGCGCCCCCGCCATTTTAATTCGTTAACTCTCGACTTTTCGCTTGGCGGGGTCGCGGGACGAAAACACGCTAATTAGCGGTTGCGCGGGGCGAAGTTTTATTTTATTAAACTTCGCCCCGCGCTCCCGCCGTTTTATTTCTTAATTCTCGCTCCACGCAATCGCGGGGCGAACTTTTATTTATTAAACTTCGCCGCGCGCCCCCGCTAATTAGCGTGTTTTCGCTTCGCGACCCCGCCATTTTAACATGTTAATTCTCGACTTTTCGCTTGGCGGGGTCGCGGGACGAAAACACAAATGGCACAAATCAGCCACCATAGTTAGGCGTTTAACAAGCATAGCCTAGCCCGGATGACAAAGACCTGTAATATGAAAAAGTCTTACACGGAGTGTTTCCGGTGTAAAGTTAAATGTGACTCAACTCGCAGATAAACTGATTGAATTTGAACATTTCAATAATAAACGAAACATTAGTTTACAAATGTTTCAGGCAGTAAGACTTGTTTTACACCAAAAAATATTTAATCCATCTGAATATCTTCTTAAACATGTATTTAAATTATACAACAAATAAATTATAACACAAAAACAACAATATAATTTTTTGCAGGGAAAAAATGTTCGTAACCTGCTGTTATATGAATTGTGATGAAAACAGAACAGTTATATTTGAGTATAGTTTTCGATCTCAATTTTCTTCTATAATCTAAAAGGATTAAAATTTTCCCAATGTAAATTTAATTATATTCACATACATGTTTGTAGTTAAAAAGTGATAAAAGGGATACAAATCATATAAGTGTTGTCTAAAAATCAATATACAAAGTTGTCTTCCTTGCATGATTAAATCTTCTTCATAGTTTGTTTGGGATAGCTTGGTTACTGTGTCATATACAGGTATAATAAGATTTTAAATGACCGTTTCCTAAATACTTTTTCATCCCTGTCCAAAATAACTTATTAACTAATAATTAAATTAATATTTTTTTCTACGGCAGTCGAGACATTCTCAGCCCATGCACCATTATATAATGAAAGTTTATAAAATGCACTAATTGGGGAGCGATGGTTATGAAATATCTCTCTGTACTTAACAACTCCCAATTATAACGAAACTAGCTCTTAGTGCATTTTAAATCAAAGGTAAATTATTGAAAATGCCTTGTTAATCATACTACAAACCTTTATTTAAAAATCAATCTTTCAAATTTACATTGCAATTTTTTTCAAGGCCAGGACAGTTTGAATAATTTTGTTAATTGTCAGCTTTATTAAATGAATACTGCTTGACGAACAGCAAAACATACACCGATTGCTGAGGATGGACGTTTTTAAGCATGTACATGTATGTAAACATCTAAAATAGCCGTATTCTTAATAAAATATGTTTGATAACTTTGATTCTAAATTCCTATCTTTCAAAGTAATGATATGATTTTAACAAGTCTTAATTTGAATTTTATTATTTACAGCTGTTTATGGATATGTGATTTATCTCTTATGTATATAAATAATCTTACATTTTCAGTCAAATCATGGCCATGTGTATCACCAATCAGAAAAGTGTACAGTCGTGTAAACTCTGGTGCTGTTCTTCAGTTTTCTGCTGACCTGATCGATCTTAGTTCACCGAAACAGTTTGAGGTCAAGTTTCATGATGGTATTGGTATCAAGGCACGTATAATATACAATCCAGACAAGACTTTTACAACTGACGCGTTATCAGGTGTCAGTATAACAGGAGATACTGATGGGAAGGTAGTTGTTACACTGGCTAATGTTCAACAAAGCAATGCTGGAGTTTACACAATGGCCTCTGCAGGATTATCAACAAAATGTAATTGTCTGTACATTTTAGGTAGGTATAACAACTAAAGAATTTGTAATCTCGGTTATGTTAAACACTTTTAGATTTAAAAACACATTTACAACCATACATGTGTAGAATCGAATAAAAAAAGTAATCATGTTATATATTTTCCTTTTTTAACACTGGGCAAACTAGTTAACTGATAACGCTATGAAACATTATCAATGTAAACATCTACACACAGAATACATACATAGTGGCGTCAGTTTGAAATACCTAATTCAGTAAACAAGAACTTATACAAAGTATACTTAATATACCATAGGACACATTTTTAACACTAATACATATTAATCTTCCAATGCATCAATAATATTAACAATATGTTAAAAAGTATATTGAATCGTTGTATTTGTGTCATTTGCATATTACAAACACTTTTGTTTACTGTTTTATGTCCGTTAATGGGGTTTTCGTCCAATAGCTCGTTTTCTGTAACATTCTGTTATCATAAAGATATTTATTATATAATCTATAAATAGCTTTGAAATGCCTTTCCCTGATTGGCTAACAAGCATCTTTTTGTAAAAAATAACAGGTCAATATCAGAGTATATTCACTGTTTTTTTTCCCTAAAAATAGATTTTCAGAGTATATTCACCGTTTTTACTTCTAAAAATAGATTTTCTGGAAATCCCCCGAATGACGCGAGACTATGACGTGACGTCACTACAAGTTTGTCATTATTATTCAGAAAAAACTTTGAGTGACTCGTAAATAAGAGTCAAATTAGTCTTTTTTAGTTACCCTCTTTAACATTTTAAAGATCAATACGAATCAGCGTGCCAATGCGCTCACTTAAAAGAAAGGGCTGAAAAATAATGATTTCCGTCGTATGCAATGGCAAATTTGATAACTTAAAGCCATATAACAGCTATTTATAAAAAAAATAAATAATAAAACAGATATGTACTTTTTAGCTGTTGAATATGATGTGATATGCACTGAAAAATTAATATTGATCGAGGCGATAGATCGTTTTCTGTAACATGCTGTTATCATAAAGATATAATATTGGACACTTATGAAATCACAATTATATTCGTTCATGAACTAAACTGAAATAATCTGAACAGGACAGACTATTCATTTTGACTTCAGAATTTATAGATTAATCATCAAACATGGAAATATGATACATACAACAGAATGCAGATGAAAATGGCAAGTTATATTATTAGAAGAATAATAAACAACAATAAACAAGTCATATGAAAACAGTTCGTACACATTAGATGAAATTTGCAAATACAATGTACATGTATATATTACATAAATACCAACAGTATTGTGATTGTTTCTTTTTTTCCAGAGATCTTGAGATAAAAATAGCCAGTCTACACAATATGTTGTAATTACAATCTAACAGTTCAATAATTTTTTTAATAAACATATTATGTCGATTTTTAAAAGAGGAAGTCATATATGTATACACAAAATGAAATTTGTCCTCAATATTATCTTAATTTCGTTCATTTTTATCTGGTTTCTATGGCATCCTACTCTGTATTAGAAAAGTCTAAAGAAAAGTCTGAATTTGTTATGCGGTTGCAAAGCATCCGAGTATAATATAATTTTAAATAAACCATTAATTACTGCAGGAACGATGTTTTTGCGTGCCGTCAATAAAACCACACGTGCATAAAAACATTCACATTTATAAGCTTTACACTTTATGACCAATTTTTAATTTCTGGCTTTGTGTTTTTACATTTTTTTTTACATTTTCTTCGAATGGGAAGACGATGTTTTCTTATTCCCATATACAAATTATGGACTGTGCAACTGTCTATAATTTCCCGAGATTTTATATCGTGGAAGCAGGCTTAAATTAAATCATGCATAAACACGTTGTCTCTACCTAAAGGGGAACTGTTGTTTCAAAAAGGACAAAACGCATCTGTGAAAGAGCTGTCGCCTTGCACTGTCACAAAACATCTGAATTTTTGAATATATCAATTTGTTGATTTTTAAAATGTAAGAAAAAAGTTCGTTTCGAAAAAGAATCATCTTTTAAAGTCTTGTATTTTTCTTAAGAGATGATTTGGATTGTGTTGTGCGGACACAGTTCGTTCTGGTTTTAAAAAAAATAAATAGCCGCTTATATTATAATAAAGCGAGGTCGCCCTGTGCTGTTTTATTTTGGTTAGATTTGGTAACGGGTTCGATGCCTTTAATTTCTTATATACTATGTTTATGCTTAAATTTGATGTTTTAGTGTTGGTCATTATGAAAAATCATTACGAGCAACACCGTCCATATAAATAAGACATATGGTTTCGGATTCCTGACACACAACGACATTGACGGAAGCGAACATGTCCCATCACTGTTCTACTTGTACGGACGTAATTAAATGTTCGTGTTGTAACGCTTCCCCTTTTATTCAACAAAAAA